AGCGGTGTGCGAGTCGCTCATGTTCCACAAGTGGTCTGTACACGTTGTTTTAGAACTGATTGTATGTAAAATAGCGTTAGATGATGACTTTTTTTTTATCATGTTTTAGGTTCCTCAATTAATACGTCCTGAACCGTTGCAAGTAACTACTCAAAAATTTCCTTTAAATGTTCGTCAATATTACGTAAATATGATGCATGATGTATGCGTGTTAATTTATACGAATGCTGAGGATGCGGCACAACGAGCGGTTAAAGAAGAACACGCTTGTCACGAACGATGTAAAGCGTTAACTGTATACAAAAATTCCTGTATGCTTGCTGCGCATAGATTGAGGAAAGAAATTGATCAAAATTCATCTGGGGATAATAATACAACGACAATGCCAGGAAGTAGTATGGTATCCCATGAAGCAGTACTTACCGGGAAAGCTAAAGGTTCCTGGAGTGTACTTAAGACAAAGAAATCCATTACAAAATTTAGAGGTACAGCTCTATATGGTATGTTAAAAAAATGGATAATGACGGAACAACAACTTCGAGATAATGGATTTCCTCGTTCACATCCAGATGGTCACAAGGTAAATAGAGTGTAAAGGACTTTTGGAAAAGACAATAAAATATGTTATTTTTTTGTGTTATTGTTTCATTTGTTTTGGTTGCAGGGACGTGCTAAAGTTTATGTAATCAACTCGCGAAATCAAAGTATTTTGTCAAAAGTGCCTAATGAAAGAGTTTGTAGTCGATGTGGTCAAACTTACATGATTGATAGACAAGGATTTGCTTTGCAACCACAGAACTGTATATATCATTGGGGTAGAAAATTCACAATTAAAGGTGAAGGCAAATATAGTTGTTGTCAACAATATGGATCTGCAACTGGTTGTTGTGATGCAAAAACACATGTTTGGGATTATACAGATTATGAAAACCTTCGAGGTTACGTGAAAACTTTACCTAAAGGTAACCTGCAAACGTTTATATTTCTTTTGACCTTTCTCTCTCTTGTTTTTTTTTTTCTCAGTTTTAATTCGTATGCATCATTTCTTGTCTCTCTGTCATCATCATCATCATCATCATCATCATCATCAATTATCATCATCATCATCATCATCATCATCATCATCATCATCATCATCATCATCATCATCATCATCATCATCGTCATCGTCATCGTCATCGTCATCGTCATCGTCGTCGTCGTCGTCGTCGTCATCGTCGTCGTCATCATCGTCGTCGTCGTCGTCGTCATCGTCGTCATCGTCGTCGTCGTCGTCGTCGTCGTCGTCCTCCTCATTTTTGTTGCTATTTTCTTCTTTCTCTTTTTCATTTTGTCGGTGTTGACCTTTTGTTTTGTTTTGATTGTAGTTGTCTATTTATACAGTTACTGTTATTTTTTTTCGTTGTTAAGATACACCAATTGAGGAACAAGGGGTGTATGCACTCGATTGCGAAATGTGTTATACAACTCAAGGATTGGAACTGACTAGAATAACAGTTATCGATGAAGATTGCAGTGTGGTATATGAAACGTTAGTTAATCCGCAAAATCCAATAATCGATTATAATACAAGGTAAAAAACTATTGACATACTTTTCCCACTTTTCTTTACCTTGTATCCCTATTTTTTTCTCTGTTTCGTCTTTTCCTTCTTTTTAAATGTGCATAAGTATAGAAAATTCTGTTTCCAGCTATTTGCATTCTCTTTATGCGATTGTCACAAATAATCATGTGCAGGTTTTCCGGAATTACAGAAGAAGATATGAAGGATGTGACAACAACGTTATTAGACGTCCAAGCGACATTATTGACGATGTTTTCAGAAAAGACCATACTAGTGGGTCACAGTTTAGAAAGTGATTTTAAAGCTTTAAAGCTTTTGCACGATACTGTGGTTGATACGAGCGTAATGTTTCCGCACAAAAATGGATATCCACAAAAGAGGGCTTTGAAGAATCTTTGTTCGGAATATTTAAGGAAGCTCATCCAAAATGACGGTTAGTTCAGAATCGTTTATTCGGTGTTTTTATTCATCGGTATTTAATGTTATTTAAGGATGTTATTTAATGTTATAGTTGGTGGACACGATAGTAAAGAGGATGCTATCGCTTGTATGGAATTAATTTTATGGAAAGCAAAGGAGGAAGCAAAATTACAATAGACGAAATTACAAGTACCGTCAGACTGAATCGTGTACAGCTTATGATTTCATGGTTTACGAAACGATGATAATCTCTTTTTTGAATTACCGTATGCGTTGTATTATAGTTTTTCATGTATAAATATGTGATATACATATATCAGATTAATTGTAGAATCGATTATTACAGAATGACCGCTCATCTACGAATTACATTCACGGTTCTACGATAGTACACGTTCGCCCTTTTCATCGCGCGCAATTCATACTTTTATAAGATTTCGTTATTATTGCGCTTTGAATTTTGAATCGTTCGAATGTAAATAGAACGATGTAGGGGTACCTGCGTTGCATCTGTTTCTTTAATTGTCTTCGAAACTGTACAAGATGTGAACTTATTTTTGGAGGTTAAAAGTCTTGCAATAAACGAACTTGAATATTTTGTACGTGTGGAAGTTTGCAATTTCTTACATTTTCAACTATATTTTAAGGAAATTAAAGTAGTTTGTAGATAGATAGTTATAGGTAGTAAGCGGTAAGTAACGTATAAAGAAGACATTTGTTTGGTTTTTCTTTTTTTTCTTTTTTTTTTTTTTCCTTTATCCAATTTTATTATATAAAACTACATCGATGTTTCGTTGAAATGTGCGTTCATTCGCTTTGTACCAGCATGGTATCTCGATTTGAAACTTATCATTGAAAAATGATTAACGATCTTATTTTTTTTTTTGACTCGTTGGAGCGAACAAAGGCATTTTACAATGCGTATATTTCGACGAAGAACAGGTACCATTGACGTGAATAAGCGAGCTTGTTTCGTTATTTGCGTCGTTGGTTTTGCAGTAGCTCGCATGCATTTTGCCGTGGTAAATCGACTTTGTTTTGGTTAGCACCGTACTAAAAATTAATTATCCTTTGGAATATCTTCTAGTAATTTATCGTGTTCATATGTATGCATTCGCCTACAAGTCCGGTGCGCCTCCTTATCTTGGCTCGTTCGAGGCTTAAGAATAATTGTAAGGAAAATATTTCATGATAATTGTGGGTACGCGAATACCGGCATTCTCGAAAGAGAAAGGTATTGGGAAAGATTCATGAAATATTTTACTTGGATATTTTCTTAGAACGAGGTGATGATCATAATCTGTGCCTATACATGTAAAAGAAAGCGTTTTAGTTTATATCTTTCGTTCGTGTTGGGTAAAAAATAGTCTATCTGCCTCCTTCAAAGAAATATTATTGTCAAGATATATTTATAGCCTAATCTTTGGTGTGTTTCTCTTACTAGTTGTTACAATGTTTCCCAAATGTCAGACATATGCTGCGGTCACGTATGCGTGTAAACAGAAGATGAAATAAAAGAAGTACGTTTGCATGATATTTTAAGAAATGTATGTATTGGCGACACTCGTGAAGAAAACTCCTATGGCGAAAGATGTATAATCCCGACTCTTATTTCGTGATATCGGATACAATCTCGGATCGTTGTGTATATAGCGAAAATACATTTGGTCGGGTCGATCGTCGGCTAGCTTGGGTGGAAGACCCGCGGAATTATAGACTAGAGTAATCGTGTACGCACCAACTATTATAGCGACATACCGACTTTCATAATGTCGTACCGTGATTAATTTTGTTGCATGATTGAGAATGCGTTAAGGAATATTACAATGAGAGTCGGCCATTTTGGCAGGTTTTCAAAGCGTTCAAAAATAGTTTGCGTGGATATTACTCGATATTTAAATCATCTAATTTTCACCGTATACGAAGGCAACTATTCGAAGACACGTACACATCATATCGACGTTACGAATTATGTATATGCCTATGCATGTTTCATTAAGTTCGTAACGTATTCGTCTTAACGACTGATGAGGAAAAAGAATATTCGTTAATTCGAAACAGTATATCGAGATATTTTCCTTGAATCGTTTCACATTCCGGTTTTTGAATGTTCTTTCCTCTATCTATCTGTAATCACACTTTTTGCGACCTGTCCATTGATTTTAAATTATTTACAATTAAAAACTAGGACCTGACGTCTTTAACAGTTGAATTATAACGAACTTATTCCTCCAACGACTAGATGAAAAGGAAAATTGGTATATCGCGGCACCATTATGACATACATATGGCGGACTAAGTAGCAAACCAAACTAGATCGAATCAAATTGTGTCGAGTTAACTCGAATTGAGTCAATTGGAGGAGAATTCGGTTCAATTTAAAGAAAAACATTTCGAACGAGAGGATATGCGTGTCTAATTTATCCGATTATCGAGGAAATATTATAGAATATACTTTCGTAAAAGCACAGCCTTATTAAAAATTAGCCTTGATTCGGTTGCATGTAAATTTTTTCAAAGTATTGCTTTGTTGTTTGGAGGAAACATTACCTTTTCATACGCTGTGCTAACAGAACAGCTAACTAACTTTTGATTTTCCTTATACACTGAAAAACGTGAAACGCGTAACGATGTCGTCGACGACGCCGACGACCGCGACGAGGATGACGACAATGATGTTGATAGTAATAACGATGACGATGACGATGACGATGACGATGACGATGACGATGACGATGACGATGACGATGACGATGACGATGACGATGACGATGACGATGACGATGACGATGACGATGACGATGACGATGACGATGACGATGACGATGACGATGACGATGGCGATGGCGATGGCGATGGCGATGGCGATAGTGACGGTAACGAAATTTCGCGGTATGGTTGATGATGATAACAATGGAAGAAATATAATCGATTATATTTAATTATCCTTTTTCCGAGAGAAGATATTTTTTGCGATATATCGATATGAATCGTCGTCTGGTTAGAAGCAACGAAGAAAATATTTGCGTTCGATTGAAAAGAAAAGAAAGATTTACGGAGAGATGGTTCGATCAGAATCTTGATCTCCAACGAGATAGAGGAATTGAAAAGCAATAGCCAACAAACTGATGCCTAATAGATCTCCCATTGCCGTCAAATATGGAATGGCTGAATTGTCGGGATCGATTTTTCGCTTCCACATCCAATGTATCATTATGTAAGCAATGTAGAGGAGAGCTGCAACCTGCAGCATGGCGGCACACAAGTAAACAAAAACGAAGAGAGGCGTCAACGAAGCATTGCCATCCTTCATATAATTGATTAGATAAATAAAAATTATATGTCCTGGTATAACCATCGCCATTAGAACCCTTGTTGTCCTCGCGTGCATACCTAAGAAGCAAAGAAAAAGAAAAAGTATTACTAATTGGGTGGAGTTTAACGGTAGACGGTTGAGATAGCGCGGGAGAAAACGTTTTCTACGATGGCCAACCAACTTGATGGTTATTACCTTTGCCAAAGAAGTTAGCGATAGGTGTGATGAAAATAACAGGATGCGTGTGACCCGGTGGAATTAGAAGCGTTCCTAGCTCGGCTTGCTTGTGAAGGGCTGTGGATATTCTGCTTGCTTGCACAGCTACCAAATTTCCACCGACGCCGTTGATCACCGGTTGGAAAACGGTGAGATTTTCGAAACGTGACACCATGAATTCAAGTATTAGACCACCGCAGCTGTTTGATCAAGAAGAGTGATCATTCGTGTATACTTTAATCGCCGTTTCGTATCATTTCTTTCAGTCTAGTGACACTAGGTTGGGCCATTTCTGACACTCGTGAAGATGAAACGAAAAATGAAATATCACTGGTACTCACCTACTGATCAACATAGCGATCATGACAGGAGTCCATCCGGAGTAGAGTACATCGTTGGTATACTTGTTTCTCTTGGCGATCCATACCCAGAGCGGTGTGACTAGGATGTAGCAAGCGATCACAAGGGGCGCGACCCAATCTTGTTTATTTATTGATTCGTAGAGAATCGTAGATATCCAAGAAAGCAAAGCTAAAGATGTGATGTCCCCAAGACTCGCGGCAATCGGGGTCGCGACGTTATCCGGATTTATGTGACAATGACGGGAGAAAACAATCACACCTGCGGTTATTAATCCGAGGACGAAGGAAGCCAGGGACGCGGTAACTAGGCTACTTGCACACAATAGGTATGCGTGATCCAACGAGATGCTACCGTTCCGAAACGCCCCCATTACGATCGCCACCACAGAGCCCAGAAATCCAACCACTATCGCCTGGCACTGCCAACACGAACTGATTTTCATTACACAAACATCACAGCGAAAAGTAAAAGTAATAGAAGTAACGAGATAGAAAACTATCGCATCGTATTATAAATAGTTATTTCCGTACACGATTTCCCGTTTAAATATTCCGAGAACGTTGATTTCGTGTTTTCGTGATTTCGTGATTTCGTGATTTCGTGATTTCGTAATATTGGTAATATCTCTGCAACTATCGAAATACCTGATTAGAAGATTATTGGAAATTAATATGGAAAATAATGAGAAATAAGATTGATTTAATAGAAAAGGTAAAAGTAAAACGCAATTAAAAATATATTTCGCGGTAAATATTCTCATGTCGATTTCTACAGAACAACAAATGTGACGTTTATTTCCGAAGGTCATTTATCGTTGACGCGTTGAACGCGTATAATCAAATAAAATCGTGGCGCCAATGATAAGGTAACAACCATAAGTCACGGTACTTTACCAGTATAGGTATCTAATTTGGAATAATTTTCGTGACTAATAATGGTAAATACCGTAAGATGTGACAAACATTTGATTAAAATGACCAATAAAATAATCGTCGATAAAAGAAAAAACACGACACAAGATGACAGGGTGAAAGTGAACAAACGATCTGAAAGGTTCATAACTATCCGTAGAAAGATTAATAACGACATAGGATAATACGATTGGAAAAGGGGTAGGTAGATAGTAAGAAGAAGAGAGTGGCAAGGATTCAGAGGGGATATAGTGAGATAGATAGATAGATAGATAGATAGACGGACGGATAGACGGACAGACAGACAGACGGACAGACGGACAGACAGACAGACAGATAGATAGATAGATAGATAGATAGATAGATAGAGAGAGGGGGGGAGGGGGGAGAGAGAGAGAGAGACAGACAGACAGACAGACAGACAGACAGAGAGACAGAGAGACAGAGACAGAGACAAATCCGAAACGATATTTGCTGGATAAAAATCAAGGAAAGAGTAAAAATAGAATGTGAATGCGACTCACTTGAATCAAAACGAGGTTTCCAACGATCATGTACCATTGTTGTTTCGGTGTGTCCATATGCCCGAGATTTGCTTGAGTCGAAAGGCGAGATGCGAGAGTCATTTCCAAATTTCCTTTTAAACCCAACAGTGCTGGTACCAGAATCATGAGTTCGCTCACTTCTTCGAACACAACCCAGTGCTGAAAAATGTGACGAATAAAAGAACCTAATTATGTTAGATCGTAAGCTACGGTATTGATCGAAGAAAGAAAGAAGGAAAGAAAGAAATAAAAGTGACAGTGAAAGAGAGCGATATAAATTGGATAAAAGAAAGAAGAGACTAGAATGAAGGAACAAGCATTCATACATGAACCAAATCTAAAACTAGTCCAGCTCCCACCATGCCCAGGCCTGCGATGAGAAACGGTATGAAAACTTGTATAGTGATCGCCAGGTACGATTCAAGGGGTTCGTCCTCGGTTACACCGTAAATTTTACTCTCAGCTACAACGTCGGGAAGACGGCTGCTATCGGTAGTTCCCTCATCGAAGATGGGTACTTCTACGGAATCTTCTTCCACAGATTTATCAGTGGGATCAGTCGTAGTATTAACCCCAACAGCAGTGTCCATCCATGCGTTCGGATTTGTGCCTGTACCCATACCCGTGACCGTGATCATACTCGTACTTGTAGCTGAAGTCGTACCCATAGTCACGTTTCCGATTGTTGATTCCGAGATAGTGCGCGAACGAGTATCCACTGGTGTTACCCTGTGGGAAGTTTGCTTTTCGGAAAGCAGAGGTTCTTTACATTGTTCACTGTTAACAAAAAGTTAATATAAATTAGATGTGTGTGTGTTTATATACGTATTTGAGTGCACACACGCGCGCGCATACGCACGTTTGCATATACATAAAATACGTGTACGTGGATGCGTGAGAGCGAGAGCGCGCGCGCGAGAGAGAGAAAGAGAGAGAGAGAGAGAGAGAGAGAGAGAGAGAGAGAGAGAGAAAGAGGGAGGGAGAGAGAGGAAACGTATAGGTACAGCAGTAATAAAAGTACAGTGTGAAAAAATAATCGAATCGCAAATATAGCGGAACGTAAGTACACCGTAATTATATCAGAGATAACTCGTCAAGGTTCATGGTGATTAAACTTTGATCGAATGTTGATAACTTATTTATTGACACGGTTAATTTATTTATTAACATTCGAGGTATGCGATTTGTGTATGAATTTAATATCGAAACTGAAATAATAGTAATCGTGGAACATACTTTTCGAATTTGGCTCCTGTAACATCGACATGGGCGTGCTTGTCGGGAGGTAGTCGTACCGGATGTTGATGCACCTGGTCCTCTATCATCTTCTACTGAGGACACCGTGCGACTCGCTGCCACGGATATATAGCCATTCTCCTTTGAGAATGATAACGCTTGTCTAAATGTTCACTCGTTGTAGTTGTATTTCAGGACAAGAATCGAGCAAATTACGTAACCAGCGAGGGACGATATCTTTAGTTTGATTCGCTCGGAACCACTGTAAGGCACGTCGAAATTAATACGCGTCAACTTTTAGTATCATAAGCAAGTCAGATTTTGTATTTTGCGATTTCTGCGGTATTTGCATTGCTCGTACCAAACATCTTCCGATGATTCGATCGCTGCGTTCATTATATTTCACACGTGGTATATTGTCGGCCGTTACTTTTGATTTCATTGCTCTCCCTTTTTTATTCATATTGCATTGTTCGTTATTTTTCATTTTGTAGTTTATCTTTGTCACTAATCATTTCGTAAAGAAGGGTGTTCGTTCTATTGGACCAACATACATTTCGTTCGTGTTATGTGACACAGGAATATCATGATAATCGTTACCATCGCGATCCTGATCGCCGAACTTGGATGATTTTACGTTTGATCACTGTGTGCATAGTCACATAGATATTTTTAAACGATAGAATTAGAAGTCAAAGAGAACTGAACGTTATTTTCACACAAAACTATAAAAGACATTTATAGTCGACGATTATACAAATAAAATTATTGTCTACAAAAATATTAAATGTGTCTGTAATGTAATGTTACATCAAACCTTATTGTTTGACTCGAGAATAAGTGAAAAGAGAAAAAGAAAAAATAACAGAGAAGAGGGACAGAGAGAGAGAGAGAGAGAGAGAGAGAGAGAGAGAGAGAGAGAGAGAATGTGTAAAATGTGTGTTTTACCGATTATAGGATGTTGATTAGCGTCCCTGCTGTTTACGTAAGGAATATACTTCGGGGAAAAGGAACATTTAAATTTAGAAAAAAAGTTACGAAACAAATCATGCTTGAATGTACATCGATAGTTTGATCATACCTGTACTTTTGTAAGGGGGTCCTTGACGATGTATAGAATCTTAACCAGATTCATAGACTCGGAAAACCTGACTTTCAATGTTCTCAAAACTGTGTCGATTCTGATAAAAAAAAAAAATTAACCGTCGTCACGCATTTGGTAGTGTAAGGCTGGTGGCCTGGTGCGAGGCCGTTTCACGCTATGGTTACATCGCGACTGATCTCGATCATGCATCACGTTCGTCTCCTTAAAACTCGCTCAGGACTATTACCGGGAACATACGCTAAACGGAGCAAGCGCGGATTTATCGACCAGTCAGTCCAAGTAAACCTTGATTGCTCGCCTACCTTATCGTCTGCTTTTCCTCGCCTATCTAACCCGTGTGCTTGTCTGCTTACCTGTCTATCCGTTTTCCTGTCTACCTGCCTACCTGTCTGCATACCTTTGTACCTGCCAGCGTACCTGCTTACCTGCCTATTACCTGTCTACCTACTCGTATCTGTCCATGTACCTATCTGCCTGCCTACTTACCTACCTATCTATCTATCTACCTACCTACGTACCTACGTACCTACGTACCTACCTACCTACCTAGCTACCTACCTACCTACCTACCTACCGACCTACGTACCTACCTACCTACCTAGCTACCTACCTACCTACCTACCTACCGACCTACGTACCTACCTACCTACCTAGCTACCTACCTACCTACCTACCTACCGACCTACGTACCTACCTACCTACCTAGCTACCTACCTACCTACCTACCTACCGACCTACGTACCTACCTACCTACCTAGCTACCTACCTACCTACCTACCTACCGACCTACGTACCTACCTACCTACCTAGCTACCTACCTACCTACCTACCTACCGACCTACGTACCTACCTACCTACCTAGCTACCTACCTACCTACCTACCTACCGACCTACGTACCTACCTACCTACCTAGCTACCTACCTACCTACCTACCTACCGACCTACGTACCTACCTACCTACCTAGCTACCTACCTACCTACCTACCTACCGACCTACGTACCTACCTACCTACCTAGCTACCTACCTACCTACCTACCTACCGACCTACGTACCTACCTACCTACCTAGCTACCTACCTACCTACCTACCTACCTACCTACCTGCCTGCCTGCCTGCCTGCCTGCCTGCCTGCCTGCCTGCCTGCCTGCCTGCCTGCCTGCCTACCTGCCTGCCTACCTGCCTGCCTGCCTACCTGCCTACCTACCTACCTGCCTGCCTACCTACCTACCTACCTACCTACCTACCTACCTACCTACCTACCTACCTACCTACCTACCTACCTACCTACCTACCTACCTACCTACCTACCTACCTGCCTACCTACCTACCTACCTACCCAACTACCTGCTTGTTCGCCTTAATATTTATCTTGCCGTCTAGGTTTACTATTTAACTATTTATCTATCTGTTTCTTGGTTGTTTGTTCACACACCTATCTGTGTGTCAGATTAATTATTGGGTTATTTCTTTGTTGTAATGAAGATTAACTATTACTTCTTTAAAGTATGTGTCCTCTCTTTCTCTCTTTTCTTTGAAGAATCACTTTTATCCGTTTTTGATTTAATCTAATACGAGATTTGATCTTTGTTTTCTTTTTCGTATAATTGAATAATCAATCATGATCGAATCGAACAAAAGTTTAATCGCTTGACGTTCACTCGTTGTTCACAAATAATCATTTGAGACAGAATACGGTGTTTCCATGATTGATCGTTTTTATATATCAAATACGTTACCGGTGCAAACGAATTTATTGTGAAACGCACGTAAGAGATTCGTATTTGTATTTGAAAGGTTAAAGTTTGCTATTTTGCACGTTAAAGTTTACGATTCCATATTTAATCTGTATTAGAAATATGAAAAACGGAGATATCAATCGGTCAACCAATATATCGTTAAATTGTCTACGTCTTCGTATTTATCGTTTTAACGTATGTGTCTACGATTACATATGATACAAGTAAGATTATGTTCCAACAATGTTTGTTTACTACGTAATTGGGTACTATTGTGTGCGTGCGTGCTTGCGCGCTCGCGCGTTTCTATTATTATATTTTTATCATAGTATGTATCCTTATCTACTTCCTAAAAGATCAGTTATGTAAGATCTCTTACAGTTAGTCATTCACGAATCGAGTGCTTCACTTTGACATTGAGTTTCGACTCTCGAGCATCGCGACATTACAATTCTCCGGTTAAATTCTTTTTTAGCTACATACAAAATTTTCTTAGCTACGTAAACCCACTTGAACGATTATGCGCGTGTAATTATTTCAGTTATTGCATCGTTGTCCGATTTTCATATTTGTTCCATGTATATCCATAAAATAACCTTTTTGAGTGCAATAACAGTCTCTTGGTATCTTTGCAATGATGTGGACATCGCAATTGATCTCAAACATATACACGTGGTATAGATAACATCGTTCAAGTTTTAAAATTACATTTGTATGTACAAAACGTGTAAACTTTGAATGGTGAACACTGTATCATTTTTACTCCGATTGGGTATCGCGTTTATCGTTTTTGACTAATTCATACGGTTTAATGGAAAACAGTAAAAATAACTGTAATACCATTGCTCTTTCCATTTGATACGTGTTCAAGTAGTCGCAGTGTAGAAGGTAAATAAAAATGAAGGCACAACGTACACGTATGAAAAAGAAGATGGAAAAGGAAAAGAAAAAGAAGGAAAAAGAAAGAAAAAGTTAAGGAAGGAAAAGGATATTCGTTAAATCGATATCTCATGATCGCGTAACATTGAATATCTATAGATTTATACACGTTAAAATCCGTCGATGTAAATTGACGGTAAGAAGAAGAATCGAAAAAGAGAGAAAAGAAACGGCATTTGGATCACGGTGTCGCTATGTCGGAAGATCGTTGGGTAAACGGAAGTATGTTACTTATGAAACGCAAGTAACGCGTAGCTAGTGACGTAAAAAATAGGAACCGAGCGCAATTCGAAATCAAATGTATCCTGAAACATTCGTGCATCGGAATTTGCAAACATTGCCGGTTAACGTTAACGGCGCGCGAGTACGAAGCACTTCCGTAACATATTCACAAATTGATAAATTACTCCACGTGTTTAAGTTCGACCATGAGGAGCAATAACTTAACATACGTTTTGATACTTGGTTCCCGTGACCCGCGAAGCGTGTTTTCAATCGCATTTCTTTCGTTTATTGTGAAAGGCCCAGTGTCGATCCTTTATCCCTACAGTATCCACGACACCTCGCGATAAAGGGACGTGTGATAATAGTTGTATCATAATTATACTTACACATGACTGTATCGCGAGGAGGAACGGTTGTAAACAGCAAGGAAATACGTAAGAAGAAAATAGATTTCACGCGGAAACAGAGATTCGCGCGGGACCAACTAAAAATATAATTTGCAATCGCGATGGTTCACACATCTTCGAATCGATATTTCCTTTCTTCCTATTCTAGTCATAACGTGTTACGGAGTTCAGAGATCAATGGTTAAGCATTTACTCTGCTACTTATTTTCCTTCTGCATTTTCTTATATTAGTCTTTTCTTTTTTACTCTTTTCCTCTTTTCTTACTTTCTTGCAATCAACAACAGGCGAACGAGGTACAAAAGATCGAGTGCGAAAAACGTATCGTAACGTGCGACTGGCCACGAGAAACGCAAACGAGAAAAAAATGACATGAATCTCAGACAACGATAGATCCGTAAATTTTTATTCCTTCAATTGTCCTTTCGTTAATACGTATTTTTAAGGCGACGCAGAACGTAAAATGTAAAAGTCAGTATATCCGACCGGTAATAATTGACCTATTATTCGCGACACACTCTCCCTTTCTTCTTAAGAACTACAAGCTACCGCGACGAATGTAGGGAGGTCAGTACGAAAACGGTTTCAGAAAACGACTCGATCGAGCAACGCGATAGATAAAATCTAAAAGACTCCGCCGGGAACGAGGCGATAGTTGGCACTGACAGATCTAACTATTTCATTGACGGAGACAGGCTGATGTACCTCTCAACCACACTTGGCCGTTTCGTTTGTACATTGTGCGTGCACGAATCGTTGACTAATGTTGATGTGCACGTGCACGCGATGTATATTCGTTCAACGCGCACACGCTCAGACCTGCCTCGCTTATGCGATTACGCTTACAAACCTTTAAGCCCTATTCGTAACTTGATCGTATAATATAGTACGAAAGAAAGACAAGACTATACAGATAAAACAGAATCGAGCTTACCTCGCCCATGTTACGATTTCACCGTATCCGTGGCTGTCCTTACATTGTTCTATTCCTCTGTGTACGTGTGTATATAACAACGGTATGCATACAACCGTGAAACTTTTTATCTATACCGTTCTACACCGCTCCTCATCTCTCTCACCTCCCCCCCCCCCCCCCCCCCCCCCCCCC